ATTCTCTTTTTGTTGGTCACTAGTTATTTTGAATAAAAATTCAACTAATCACTGCCCACTCCCAAAACTACAACTTGATGAACTTTGGTATAATATCAAAGAACAACATCCACAACCTGAATTTCTAGGTGCATATTTCTTCATACACTTTGTTTTATTCTATTCTGTTACTAAATAACTAAATACCACCCTGGGTAGCTTATAAAGAGTGTAAGTTTATTTAGAGCATGGTGTTGGAGGTCTGCTATCAAGTCTCACTAGTGAGGACTCTGCAGAGGCACCAGACAGCATAGGGTATGATGACCTTATCACTCCAATGACCTTATCTAATACTAATCACCCCCTGGGGCAGAAGGGTATTTCTCACTTTCTCTCTCTCCCCATCAGTGCACAAGCCCTATGGCAAAAACCTAAAAATAATGATAATAAAGAAAAAAGTATTCTCTTTTTTCTCACACAAAAAAAGAAACATTTCTTTTTTTTGGAGGGTTTTTTTTTTGCTATAGGGCATGTGCGCTCGCCAGACAGACACAGAGAGACAGAAAGAGAGAAATCACCCCCCAGGGGGGATGGCCACGCCTTCTCCTCCATTCTCCTCTCGGAATCTTGGGCACGCACGCACATGCACCCGGCGTGAGTTTTAAGCCACCGGGTCCGGGATGCGAACCGCGGTCGACTATGTGAGAGTCCAGCAACATAGCCATTACGCCAACTGCTGGTCCCAAAAAAGAAACCACACTTTTAAAAAGAATTATTTTACTTAACTTTATTTATTTATTTATTTTTAATCTGACCAGACAGCTTTAGAGAAAGAGAGCGAGAAAGAGAAAGCAGATCGCCAAGTCTGGGACTCGAACTGCAGCTGGCCATTTGGGACTCCAGTGCCCTTAACCACCACGCCACCTGCTGGGCCTAAGATACACATTTTTTTTACAAGGACTCTCTTTTGTTAAAGTTTATTTATTCCATGAGAAGGAAACAGAGAGAGAGAGAGACATGCAACACCAACAGGGTCTTGACATCACAACCCTATCCCCTACCTTAGTTAGGATCATAGGAATGCATGTCCCACTTCATACCACACCCACACCCACATACACACACACAACAGACTCCAGGAGAGAACCTAGAAACTTCCTATATGGTGCCAGTATGGCAGAGCACCGCTCTACCAATGCATCACCGTGGCTGGCCAGAGAGAAGAGTCTACCTGGAGAAACTAAACATTCCCAGAGAAGAGACCTAAGAACACAAGTATCTGGGGTCCTTCGTAAAAACTACTGGACAATTCTCAACAGGAAAACTGTATGGTCAACCATATCCTGTATAAATAAACACAGCTTCTGACCCACTTCTTTTTTTGTTTTTTTGGAGAGGTTTTCACTATAGGGCACAGACAGACAGAGAGAGAGAGACATAGAGACAGAAAGCGAGAAATCACCCCCCAGAGGGGATAGTCACACCGCAATCCCTTCTCCTCCATTCTCCTCTCGGAATCTTGGGCACGCACGCACATGCACCCGGCGTGAGTTTTAAGCCACCGGGTCGGGGACGTGAACCGCGGTCGACTACGTGGGAGTCCAGCGACATAGCCATTATGCTAACTGCTGGTTCCCTGACCCACTTCTTAAGGCTCCAACTTAAATAAAAATGGACAACCTGAAATTACCAGACTTCTAAAGAATTCTGAATTAAAGACAGATAAGAAAAAGCTTTGGAGGACTAGCAGATGAAGTCATCGGACTCTCACGTGGCTGACTGTGGATTGAGTCCTGGACCCCGCAGCTTAAAACTCACACCAGGCACTTGGTGCATGTGCCAAAAACCCTGAGAGGAGAATGGAGAAGGGATTGTGGGGTGTGGCCATGTCCCCTGGAGAGTGATTTCTCACTTTCTGTCTCCCTATCTCTCTCTCTCCAACAAGCACACGTGCCCTACAGCAAACACAAATTCTATCACACACACACACACACACACACACACACAGCTCTCTAAAAACTAAATTTTTAAAAAAGAAAAAGTTTTGGAGAATGGAGAAACTATACAGGGGCCAACTGGGAAAAAAATCATTTACAACCTATACAATAGATACATCATAAAGATGACAAACATCACTATGGTTAAAAACAAAGTTACGGGGGCCAGTAGGTGGCATGGTGGTTAAGGTGCTGGAATTCCCACATGGCTGGCCATGGTTTGAGTCCCGGACCTGGCAGCTTGCTTTTTCACTCTTCCTCTCTCTCTCTCTTCTGTCTTTCTCTGGCAAAAACTCATGTGAAAAATAATATTAACAATAATAAATAAATTTAAAAAAAAAAAGAAAAAAGAAAAACCAAAGTTATAGTCTATAAAGGATATAAACAGAAAGTTTCTTTTTTAGTTTTTCTTTTTCTTCATAGCTAGAGAGAGACAGTGAGAGGGATAGTGAGAGATCACCCCCAAGGGAGGATGGCCCTGCCACAATCCTTTCTCCTCCATTTTCCTCCTGGAGTTTTGCACACACATGCACATGTGCCCAGTGTGATTTTCAAGCCAACAGGTTCAGGACTCAAACCACAGTTGACCATGTGAGAGTCCAGTGCCTTAACTACCATGCTACCTGTTGGACCACCAGAAAAATTTTAGAAAATATGAATGATTAAAACGTAAGAAAACACTAAAAATCTAAGCAGTGATCAGGGCAATGCAAGTTTTTTTTCTTTTTTTTTAATTTTATACCACTTTCTGTCCATCACTGTTATGGTTTCCATGTGTGCTCCCTCCCAAGATTATATTCAATGACCATGGGGACAAGCGGGTACCATGGTGGTTAAAGGCACTGGACTCCAAGTTGGCCAACTGTGGTTTGAATCCCAGACCTGGTGGCTTGCACTCTTGCTTTCCCTTTCTCTCTCTCTCTGCTCAAATAAAATAATAAACAAATGGAATTAAATAAATAAATAATTCTTTTTAAAAGATCAATGACCATTGTAACACCTGCTGAGAAGTGGGACCTTTAACAGGTAATTAGACCATGAATACTGACATTATCCTGGGAGTGGGTTTGTTTTTGTGGGTGTGGTTTCTTTATAAAAGAATAGCCCCCCCACACACACCTTTCTTTCTCATTCTGGCCTTCCACCATGTTATAACTAAGCAAGAAGTCCCTTACCAGTTGTAGCCCCTCCCCCTTGGACTTCCCAGCCTCCAGAAATGTGACATATATTTGTCTTTATAAATTCCTAAAATCTCTGGTATTAGAGCAGCAAAAATGAACTAAGACAATAAAATAGAAAAAAAAAACTAAATTGCAGCATGTAGGAAAATGGACATTCATTCACTTTGATAGGATGAAAGAGCAGATATGATGTTTCTCCTTTTTGTTTAGATAGAGTCTTGTTATATCACAATCCTCCTGCCTCGGCCTTCTAGTTGGGACTATAGGTGTACAGCACCACATCTGGCTATTTCTAGACAGTACCTGTTGCCCAGGCCTGCCATAAGCCTGCAGTCCTCCTGTCTCGCCCCTCCTGGATTGTTGGGACATATCCCCCACGCAGCCTTATACATCGCATTGCTTCCAAAACTGATGTAGCAGTATCTATTACATTGTCAAATATCCATCACTTTGATGTAGGGCTTCCACTTTTAGGAATTATCCTACAGAAACAATTTTTTTTGGAGAGGTTTAGAGAAAGAAAGAGACAGTGAGAGGGAAAGTGAGAAATCACTCCCCCCCCCAGGGGAGATAGCCACACCATAATCCTTCTCCATTCTCCTAGGATCTTGGGCATGCACCACATATACCTGGCGTGATTTTCAAGCCATCAGTTCTGGGACTTGAACAGTGGTTAGCCATGTGGTAGCCCAGTGATGTACTGCTATGCCATCTGCTGGCCCCCAGAAATGCTCTTAGCAAGAGCAAAAGTTATGTTCAAAAATGTTCACTGCAGATCTGTTTGTAACAGAAAAAAGAAAAAAACAAACAAACAAACAAACAAAAAACCAGCACCAATGTCCACAAACGAGATAAACTGTTACATACATTGATAAACACTATACATTGGAAAACTATGCTGCCATTACACTGTGTTAGATCTATAAGTACAAAGGTCCAGGCATGGTCAGGTATATTGTTAAAAAAAAAAAAAAAAAAAGGCAGAGTAACTGGCTCTCTAGCAGCCTCTGGTCTGCTGGGCCATGGGCCTCACTGCTACAGACATCTGTCAAGCATTCTTGGCACATCAACCACAAGGGTCTATCACAGGGGGTGAATTTCTTTTAAAAGCTTCCCTCAAAAGAGACCAGCATCTAGCGCAATGGCTATGTCGCTGGACACCCATGTAGTCGACTGTGGTTCGAGTACCAGTCCCGATGATTTAAACTCACGCTGGGCGCATGTTCGTGTGTGCTCATGATCCCAAGAGAGAAATGGAGGAGAAGGGATTGCGGCGTGGCCATCCTCCGGGGGGCTGATTTCTCACTTTCTGTCTCTCTGTCTCTCTCTGTCTCTCTTGCAAGAGCATGCACCCTATAGCAAAAACCTCTCCCCCCCACAAAAAATGTTATGAAAGTATGTGCCTTCCTGCATAATAACCCATCAAGCATAAAGTATAATAAAAATACATATAGAGAGATGAAGAGACCTCTCAGGAAAAATCTATGAATATAAATACTACTATTGATTTGTAAGGACCTTGAACTTAAACAGGTAAGTGAACACATGAAGTTCAAGGTGATTTTTACCACAGAGGCAGATACATTACAATCAAAAATGATAAAACACTGCCTGTTTTTAAAGGCAAGGATTATTCAAACACTCAGTATAGTATTAACAACATTTAAACTAATGGGAAAGCAAAACAACTTCCAGACAATTAATACATGCATGCTTCATGTTCTTTAAAAAAAAAAAATCTTTGCTTAGAAATAAATCCAAATATATATTCAGTTCCTTTTTCTTGCACATACTAATAAACAAAGCTAATATTTTAACAGAAATAAGGACAATTCATATTTACCTCTCTGCCTGTAAGGATATGCCTTGCCAATTTCACTTTTGCAAAATTCCCCTTGCCAATTGTTTTCAACAGTCTGTAGTTTCCAATGTGAGGTTGTTCATCTGCACAAGAAGCTATAGAGTTTCTACATCGAGCTCCAGAGCGCCCAGGACGAGAAGTAACTTCTTGACGCCCATCTCCATGTGATGTGTGCTACAATAAAGCAGACACAAAGATAAAGAAATGAGAGGACACACAATAACTTGTCAAGTTTTGTTTTCTGTTTTTTGGTTTTTTACGAGATTTTTGCTATAGGGCACATAAGCTTGCCAGAGAGACAAAGAGACAGAAAGCAAAAAATCACCCCCTACCCGGGATAGCCACACCACAATCCCTTCTCCTCTTGGAATTTTCGGCATGCACACACATGCACCCAGCATGGGTTTTAAGCTGCCGGTTCTGGGATTTGAACCACGGTTGACTACATGGGAGTCCACCAACGTAACCATTACAATATTTGCTGGTCTCATTTGTCAGGTTTTAAGAGCTTCTTATTGAGAAAACAAAGCATGACTGCTTTAATTTATTTTTTTCTTAGAGAGGTTTTTGCTATAGGGTGCATGTGCTCACCAGAAAGACAGAGACAGAGAGATAGAAAGTGAGAAATCACCCCCCAGGGTGGATGGCCATGCTGCAATCCCTTTTCCACTCTCCTCTCAGGATCTTGGGCATGCACACACACGCGCCCGGCATGAGTTTAAGCCACTGAGTCCAGGACTCATCCGCAGCCAACTACATGGGAGTCCAGCAACGCAGCCATTACGCCAACTGCTGGTCCCTGACCCTAACTCTTCCATATGTTAGTAAGTTGTTCACACATTTGACCCTCACTACAGCCTGTGAAGAAGCAGACTGCTGATGTCATACACCAGATGAAGATATGGCCATGTAAGTTTTGGGGAGAAATATAATCTGGATTCCTACTTTCTACACCACACTGGCAATTATTCAAAATAATGTGCTTATTAAACTGCCAGACTATGTTCTTTTTTTTTTTTCTTTTTGAGAGGTTTTTGGTATAGGGCACGTGCGCTTGCCAGACAGACAGAGAGACATAGAGACAGAAAGTGAGAAATCACCCCCCAGGGGGGATGGTCACGCCACAATCCCTTCTCCTCCATTCTCCTCTCGGGATCTTGGGCATGCACGCACATGCGCCCGGCGTGAGTTCTAAGCCACCGGGTCCAGGACGAGAACCGCGGTCGACTATGTGGGAATCCAGTGTTCTTTGGTAAATATTTGCTGAACAGGGACCAGCAGGTGGCATGGTGGTTGAGGCGCTAGACATTCCCACATGGCCGACAATGGTTCGAGTCCTAAACCTGGTGGCTTGCTTTCTTATTTTCCCTCTCTCTCTGGTCAAATTAAAATAAATAAATGATGGGGAACCAGCAGTTAGCGTAATGGCTATGTCGCTGGACTCCCACGTAGTCGACCGCGGTTCGTGTCCCGGACCCGGTGGCTTGAAACTCATGCCGGGCGCGTGTGCGTGCGTGCCCAAGATCCTGAGAGGAGAATGGAGGAGAAGGGAT